TGGAATTTAATGTGGCTGGTGTGAAAATCTTGTGTAATGTTCCCCGCACAATGGTCTTAGAGCATTTTACAGTGTGAAGGATCCCCGTTGTGGTACCAAACATGGGTTTAGAGCTGAGAGGATTTGGGCCTTTGGTGTTTTCCAAACACCAGGACAAAGTTTTCTGGACTTTTACTGAGCTGAAAGGGCCAAAATCCCCACAGGTGGGTGAAAGCAGAACAGTAAAAAATAACCAGTGTGATTTCACGTCTCACTTTTAAATGGGCACAGAACTGTGGGTGGTTTTTTTCCTCTGTAACAACTATTTGGGTGAGTCAAACAACCGCAGTCCTGGCAGATGAAACGTTTGGCAAATGCTGGATGTTCAACCTCCCCCGCGCTGCCCCGGCACGGAGGAACCATCTCTTCCTAACCTGTGCCTAATTTAGGGCCTGATCCCATCCAGAGATGTCGTGAGGGAGGTTGTGGAGCAGAAGCCAACGAGCTTGTTTGAGTTGCCTCACACGAGGGTTGACGTGCTCGGGTTGCGCCATCCCTGCAACTCCCTGGGACAGGAGCCCGTGGAATTGTTCCCAGGTAAACAACCTTTCACTCCCCAGGTCACGCTGTAAATAATAATCAGGCGGAAAACCCCCGGGAGTTTTGCATATCTCCTTCATTTAGCTCGTGGAGTGTCCCTGGGGGGGGGTCTGGGCAGGGAACAGCTTTTCCATTGGCTGGGAACAGCTCTGACTTCAGCAAGAGGCAAATTAAGAACAGAATCCCAGAATCCCACAATAGTTGGGGCTGGAAGGGGCCTGTGGAGATCACCCAGCAGGGTCACCCAGAGCAGGTGACACAGGGGCACGTCCAGGTGGGTCTGGGATGTCTCCAGAGAGGGAGATTCCAAGCCTTTCCTGGGCACCTGTCCCACTCTCCATGGAAAGAAGCTCTTCCCCATTCTGAGGTGGAACTTCCTGAGGTTTAGTTTATGGATATCACTCCTTGTCCCGTCTCTGGCACCACTGAAAAGTCTGGCACTGTCCTCTTGCCATCTGAACCTTCTCTTGCTGTTGAAAACACTGTATTTTAATTCTGTTAAAACCAATGTTACATTTAAGTGTGGCTCTAAAATACACATAAAAAATGTTGGCAGAAACATTTGTCCTGTGGAGATTCCTCGAGGATCCCATTTGTGTTTTGGGTGAAGGAGCCAGAAATGAAAGAAATCATTCAAATATTGAAACTACCTACAGGCTACGGAGTTTTATTTTCCAGCCTGTGATCCAAAGGGACACGGAGAGAGGAATCTTTTCCTGTCACCAACCACAAACCACTTCTCCCAGCAGTGCCATCACCAGCTCAGCCCCGGGTGAGGGACACGAGGAACACGTCTCTTCATGGAAAAGCCACCCTGTGGCCCACCCAGGGCACTTCTGCCGGGTCAGTCACTTCTTCTGCCTGGGGGGCCAGTGGCTTTTCTGTTTGCACTGCTGGCTCTTGGTGCTGGGAATGACCACGGGGCACTTCTGCTGCACCACCTGGGAGCACCCACCCCCCCCGGGGCTGAGCTCTGGGCCTGAGACCCCCCCGGGGGCGTAGCCAGACCCTCCACTGTAGTACCCCGGTCCCCCAGTGACCCCCCCTGACAAGGCATCACTGGGGGGTGCAGGGAATCCGTATCCGGACCCTCCTCCCAAATCCCCTGGGTGGAGGGTGGACCCCCCCTCGCCCCCCAGGCTGTGTCCCCAGTCCCCTCCTCCCCCCCTGGGGGCATAAACGGGGACTGTCCCCCCCGTGACGCCCCAGCCGGACGTGCCCCCGCAGTCCCCGCCGGTGATCACCACAGAGCCCTCCCCGCCACACGTGTAGCCCCCCGAAACGCTGTAGGGGGGAGGCGCTGGCACGGGGGGGCAGTAGGAGGGTCGTGGGCTGTAGGAGGGCCGTGGGCAGTAGGAAGGTCTCCGGGTGTAGGTGACTGAGCCTTCCCTACCACAGGAGAAGGAGGCGCGTCCGAGGGGGTCGGAGAAGCTCCCGGAGCAGAACCCTCCGTGGTGCAGGGAGATCTCCCTGGAGTAGCCCCGGTGCCTGTGGGCACACTTGGCTCGGAGGAACCGGTAAAGCTGCGAGAGGAGAGAAAAAAAACCCACCCAAATTTGCCCAGTTTCACTTCATTTCGCATCGTGGCAGGTGGGGGGGGTTCAGGGGGTGGAGAGGGTTCAGGTGGTGGGGCAAGAAAAGCTTTGTCAGGGCCTGGGGCAACTCCAGCCTTCAAAGCAGGGCACTGCCGAGCTCTTGGAGAGCATGGAATGGTTTGGGCTGGAAAGGACCTTAAAGATCATCCCCTTCCAACCCCCTGCCACGGGCAGGGACACCTTCCCTAGACCAGGCTGCTCTAAGCCCCTGTTTTTCAAATCCGAGGGTATCTGGACTCTTCCTGGGATAGTTTTCCTCCTTTTTATCTCCAGGGTATATCTCCAGAGAACCAAAATCTGAGGGACATTCTTTTACCATCTAAGAACTGCCCTGGCTTTCCCCACTCACCTTCATGTCTGCAGCTGCAGAGCTGCAAAACCAGCCAGGATTATCCTTGTTTCTGTTTTCAGCCTGCTGCAAGAGCAGTGGATCAAAGTTTCCACTCCCCAGGACGTTTCTGGCTCTGTTATTGCACCCCCAAAGGTCTCTTATGGAAGGTAATTGGCCCAGACATAGAGGTTTGTGGCCATTCTGAAGCAGAGCTTGTTATTAAATAATATAAAAAATGGGTCCCAGGCTTTGCAAGCACTTTCAAACCCACAGAGGTTGTGCAGTCACCACGTGCTGGTCCCACCACAGACTAATCTGGGTTTTGCCCTCTGGCTCCCAGTCTGGTGACTGGATTTCACCTTTCTCCCTAAGGATTTGATCCATCCAGAAGAAACTGTCCAGATCCCAAGGACTTTGCTCAGGCAAGCACAGGTCAAGGTCCCAAAGGAAGGTGCCTCCCATGAATATGAATTAATAAAGTCTCAGAAAAAAATCAGACTTACCTTCTTGAGCCATAGGAAACACATTTAGAAGGTAAAAGTCGACTGAATGAGGAGCTTTAACAGCCTCAGGAACATTTATATGGTGTTTAACATATATGGGAAGTGAGACACCCTTGGGAATGATAAGGATTATTTACCTATCAAACTGGGATTTCAGTGTTTGACTCATGGCGACGATCCATATCTCCCTTCACCCAGTAATTGTTACTCCTGCCTAATGAGCCCGTTCCTGAGCTCCTGCCCTGGGCTGTGGAGGAACATTCCGGCCCCCAGAGAGGTGGGGGAGACCCGGGGGAGGTGGGTGGGAATGTGGGTGTAGGGGAATGCAGAGGATTAGGGAGTGTGGGGCAGAGGAGCAGCTGGTGGCACTTTGATCCCTCCAGCAGCTCCCCGGGGACTCCAGGGGAGATTTTCTGAAGGAAAAACATTTGCATCCAAACCAGAAGGTCACCAAAAGGGACTGATTCCCCAGTTGGGAATTTTGCAAGGGTGCCAGAGATGCTTTGGGAGGTTCATGAGAGAACTGTGAAGGTGAGAGTGTCCTAATGCTTAAACCCAGCGTGGCTGGTGTTTTAAGGCAGGATCATGCCTCCAAATGCCTGCCTTCCTCCTTTCTCATATCCTCCTTCTGGCTTGGAAAGGGGGCTCGGGGTGGTCTGGAGGGTTGCAGATCTGAGCTGCATCCCCACCCTGCTCCAGCCTGGCTCTGCAGAGCAGCTCGTGCAGTTTGGGCCAGGCCTGCTCAGCTCCAAGGAATTTTGCTGTGGTGACAGTAAGTCCCAGCTTTGGCCAAAGGCGAAGTCTGTGGGGCAGAAAGCCTTGCCCAGGGTGCTGGTGCTGCCACAGCAGGTTGTAAAAGCCTGGGCAGGGAGGGATTTGAGGCCTGGAGGCATCTTTTGGAGTGTGTGGAGCTGCCTGGGGGACTTGCTGCTGGTTTTATTTCCTTTACAGCCCAGGGCTGATTTGGCTCCCTCAGTTGTGGGGCTTCCCTCTGGGAACAGATCATGGAATCCCAGAATCCCTGAGGTTGGAAAAGCCCTCCAGGATCATCGAGTCCCCCCCCCTGTGCCCCATCCCCACCTTGTCCCCAGCCCAGAGCACTCAGTGCCACAGCCAGTCCTTCCCTGGACACCCCCAGGGCTGGGCACTCCCCCACCTCCCTGGGCAGCCCCTGCCAAGGCCTGACCACCCTTTCCAGGGGGAAATTCCTCCTGATGTCCAACCTGACCCTCCCCTGGCACAGCTTGAGGCCGTGTCCTCAGTTGCCCTGAGGTTTGCAAAGCTGAAGGAAGGGGAAGGTGGCAGGGACATGATGTTGTTCACTTTGGGCATCCACAGCTGCTCTTGGGCCATCCCCAGTTCCAGCTCCTCTGAACTGAGCCTGGTGGGCCTGGTCAGGTCTCCCATCAGCTCCACAGACGGGGCCATTGGGTGCTGGTGCCTCAGAGGACGTGGGACCAGGAGCTGGGGTGGCTGCACCATGACCAGGCACCAAAGGGGAGTTGGGTGCTGTGGTTATTTGGCATTTTGGGCTCTGCTGTTCCTCTACCAGGTAGAAAACGAAGGTCCAAACACTCTGGGGCAATAAACTGGGTGACTTTAGAGCTTCACCTACAGCAAAGCACCACTGAACCCATCATCTCCTTTACAAGGAGGAGTGAAGCACCTCATCAGACAGATTTCTGCCTTCCAAGACCAGGAGATGCTGGTTGGTAACATGAGAAATAAACAAACTTCCCAAAAAAGGCAGTTTTGAGCTATTATAATATTTATTAGATATAAAAAGGGCCTTTGGAAAAGCAGCACAACGTTATCAAAGGCTTCCCAACACCAGCAGCAGGGCACGGGGTAAGTCCTGGCGTTCTCAGCACAGGGATGCAGCATCCAGGGAAGAGGAGAGGACACAAGGGAAGGAGCAGGCAATCAGAGCCAGGTCTGGAGGTGCCGGCAGAGGCTCAGCTGGTCCTGCTGGACCTGGAGCTGCCCCGGCTGTCACTTCTGGCCAGAGGGGAAGCAGCAGCTCTGCTTGGACTGCTGGGACACGATGCTGGGGATGGCGATGGGGCACTTCTGCTGGGAGGACTGGGAGGACCCTCCAGAGCTGATGATGATGGTCTGGCCCGAGGAGCCGCCCCCGGATCCTCCCCCGCAGCATCCAGAGGATCCTCCACCACCTCCCACGATGATCTTCCCTCCTGAAGAACCCCCACCATATCCTCCTCCTATGCCATAGCTGGACCCTCCACCACAGTATCCAGAGGAACCTCCACTGCCTCCTCCCACAATGATGGTCTTTGATCCTGAAGATCCACCACCGTACCCTCCTCCAATGCCATAGCTGGACCCTCCACCACAGTATCCAGAGGAACCTCCACCACCTCCACCTACAATGATGCTCTTTGATCCTGAAGATCCACCACCATAACCACCACCATATCCTCCTCCTATCCCATATCCCGAGGAACCTCCACTGCAACATCCAGAGGAACCTCCACCACTGCTTCCCCCTCCAATTATGACCTTTGTTCCCGAGGAACCACCTCCGTATCCTCCTCCTATGCCGTATCCTGAGGATCCCCCACTGCAGCATCCAGAGGAACCCCCACTGATTCCACCTCCAATGATACTCTTTGATCCTGAATATCCACCACCGTACCCTCCTCCCACGCCATAGCCACCACTGCATCCTCCACTGCCTCCACCTACAATGATGGTCTTTGACCCTGAAGAACCATAACCACCATAACCACCACCATATCCTCCTCCCAGCCCATAGCTGGATCCCCCACTGCAGCATCCAGAGGAACCTCCACCACTACCTCCACCCACAATGATGCTCTTTGATCCTGAAGATCCGCCACCATATCCTCCTCCTATCCCATAGCCTGAACATCCTCCACTGGAACCTCCACCTCCAATGATGACCTTGCCTCCTGAAGATCCACCACCATATCCTCCCCCTATCCCGCAGCCACCACTGGATCCTCCACTGCAGCATCCAGAGGATCCTCCACTGCTTCCTCCTGCAATGATGACCTTGCCTCCTGAGGACCCACTGCCGTACCCCCCTCCCAGGCCATAGCCAGAGGAGCCCCCGCAGCAGGAGGAGCCCTGGGACTGGTAGCTGGAGGAGCCGCCCCCGTGGCACGAGGAGCCCCCACTGTGGCACCCGCTGGACTGGGAGGACATCCCGTGGCAGCCCCCGGAGCTTTGTCTGGAGCACATCTCGGAGCTGGGAACCTGCAAGGAACAGGGTGGTCAGAAAGGAGAACCTTGGAGGGGCAGCTGAGCCTTCACAGCAGACAAAAAAATGGAAGAGGACCCAGGAAATGCCCCTTTTGCCCCATTCCTGGAGCTTTAACCTCCCTCACCCTTGTGAGCTCCCAGGGAGTGCCCTGCAGGGCACAGCAGTTACAGGAACACTCTGTGTGCACGGAGACCGTGAGCACACATGTGCACACATGCTCTGACACGCTCCGAGCTGGCAGCCTGAAACATTTCATCCCTCTGGATGCCCAAAACTCCCAGCAGCTGAAAATTCAGCCCCCAGAGCATCGGCTGCAACTCCCCCCTCTAAGGAAGGCAGTTCTGTTGGCACATCAGGTGGGTTTCTGGAGCCACCACAGTTCCCTTGTTCAAAGAACCCTCAAAGACCAGCTGGTGGAGGGATCTCCCTGCGTTGGGGTTCCAGAATTTTCCGTATCAACGGCCTTACCTTCAGTGGATCTGGGAACCGTGTGATGCTCGGCGGCGGGTGAGTGAGGAGCCCTGGGATGGGTGAGCTTTTATATCGTGTACATCGCGCTCCCGAGGGAAGTGAGACACCCTAAGGAATGCTGAGAGGTTTATTGACAGAGAGCTTGGCTCTGGCTGCCTCCTTCTTTGACTCACTTGCAGCACAGGGGTGATGGGAAGGAGATGCATCAACCACTTTCTGCAGCACAGTTTATAATTCTATTTAATGATTCGCTTCCGGGAGCCTTGCCCTCGAACACTGGGGGCAAACGGCTTCTTGGGGTCTGATCTGGGGGCTCCCTGATGTGTTTCTGATGAGCTGCAGCTTCTTGGGTGCTCAGCAGAGAGTGGAGATGCTGAGAGGTGGAGACTGGAGTGAGTTTGGGCCAGAGAGTGATGGGAAGGATGAGGGTGAAGGATGTGCCAGAGCAGAGCTCCAGAGAATTTTGGAGAAGGGGGTTTCCTCGAGGACTGGCAAGAAGGGGAGCTGGATGGGGAGTATGTCCAGTATGTCCTTTCCTGCTGGGAAAAGCTCAACAGGCCAGAGGTACCTCCTCAGATGGAGAGCACTGCACTGGAGCACCTCAGCCCAGACCCATTTCAGAGGACACTGTGAGGGTGACAGAGGCAGGGGGGACATTTCCCCTCATTCTTTCGGGAGCCTGAGGTGGAAGGGGCTGTTAGACTGAGCAGAGAGGTCTGTGCTCAGCTCCAGCTCCCAGGGGTCCCAACCTCCAAACCAGAGTGAGCAAAGTCTTGAAACCCTTCTGTTTGCAAAGATGCCTTTGAAGGCCATCAAGCCCCTTCCCTTGAGCTCTAGGGCAGGAAACATTTCCTCTGCCTCAGCAGGACCCATTTTCTGAGGGTCCTCACTGACCAACCCTCCCACACGTGAGCTGGGGAGTCACCTGGGTATTTTCCTTGCTGCAGAGGGACAGTTTGCCAGCACAGCTGTCCCAGCACTCATCCTGCCACTGCGTCACGCGTGCTTGGAGCCTGACAGCAGATCCACCCTCCTGGGACACTGAGGAGAGAGGGAGTAATCGGGGATTTTAGCTGTGAGGACTCCTGACAGCAGCAGGTCCCAGCCCCGTCACCATGAATGTGATTTTGGGAGTGCACACACAACCCCTCTGGTATGGGGACAGGACCATCAGCACCAGGAACACTCATGCAGGGGGAGTTCCTTCACTTTGCTCTGGACTCCTTCCAGTGCAAAGAGCCTTATCTGTGCTCTCATCACCAGATCTGAGGTGTCACCGCAGTCCTGGCTCTCAGCTGAGCGTGGGTGTTGTACCGCTGAGGATCTCAACACCGTGATCCCTTCCGTGCACTGACGTGTAGGGACTTGCACAGAGGGACACCCAGGATTAGCAGCTCATCAGCACACAGGGACACCCAGGATTAGGAGCTCTTTGGGACCCAGGGTGTGAGGAAAGGCCGTGGAGGCTTTTGGAAAGGGTGGTGAGAGGGGCTCACAGTCCAACGATGGGTTGTGGAGACCCCAAGGTTGGACCCTGGACTGGAAACGCTGAACCTGCAGCACATGGACTTGTTTGGTACCTGCCAGGTGTGGAGGAGAAGTGTGGCTGGATCCAGAGCTGCTGGAGGGGTTGGCACTGCCACAGCCTCTCCCAGCCTACAAAGCAACTTTGATCCCTGTGCTGGGTAAAGGGAAGGGGGGGGGCGAAAGGCTTTGTGGTGGAGGCTGCCCCAAATTAGGGCCACGCTGCCCAGGGCTCTGCCTGGGCCCTCCTCTGCCCTGCAGTGCCATCACCCCCAGGATGGGCTGGCAGGTCAGGTCACCTTTCAGTCTCACCACTGCAAACACCTCACCCTGGGGTGTGTTGCTGTGAGAGAGGAAAAACCCTTGGCCAGATCCCAGAATCCCTTTTCCCAGAGCTTCCTTCATGCCCAGCAGTGCCAGTGTTGATAGTGTGGGACATGGTGAAGATACTGCTGGGGTAAGAAGAACTCCCCAGTTTTTGTCCAAGAGGCAGAAGCTGGTCAGTCAGGATCCCTCAGGAGTTTGAATGGCAAATGATTCCCTTTAGTCCTGATTCTGTTTCCTCCTCACAATCATGTTTGTGAGATGGACAAAACCCCTCTTGGCTTCAAGTTCACTGGACCCAGGACTAATCACACCTGTCCCAAAGGTGGCTTTGGGAGTCCTCTTTGAGAGGACTTTCCCACTTTGAGAGGAAAGCAGCCCTGGGCTGCATCCAAATGGGCGTGGGCAGCAGGTGAGGGAAGGGATTCTCCCCCTCTACTCTGCTCTGGTGAGATCCCACATGGAACACTGAGTCCAGTTCTGGTGTCCCCAATGTAAGAGGGGCATGGAACTGTTGGAGCAAGTCCAGAGGGGGCCACAAAGTTGATAAAGGGACTAGAGCATCTCCCCTATGGAGAATTGTTCCCTGTGAGGGTGGGGAGGCCCTGGCACAGGTTGCCCAGAGCATCTGTGGCTGCCCCATCCCTGGGAGTGTCCAAGGCCAGGCTGGAGCAACCTGGGATAGTGGAAAGTGTCTCTGCCCATGGCAGGGGATGGAACTGGGTGAACTTCAAGGTCCCTTTCAACCCAAACCATTCCATAATTCCACGACTTTCTGTTGATTTCTGCACCCAGCTTTTGGGATTTCTTTGGGAAGGAAAAAGTGAGGTGGAGCAATTTCCCAGGTTAAAGTTGCAAACCCTGAGGGATGTTATTTGCCAGAGGGACAATGACCATCTGCTTCCACAAGGAGGTTTCTCTCAGGGAAGATCTGTCAACAACCCCCTGCTCCAGCACTGGAGGCCGGAGAATATTCCACAGCAGAATCTTTTTGATGCATTATTCATTTTTTTGGGAAGTAAACAGGGGCCTGACAAAGGCTAAAAGCAACCTCACACAACCAGTTCTGTCTGGACACCGAAATCTTTATTTCCTGTCACATTGATGGCACAGAGGAGCCACCTGGGAATTCACAGCTCTGGGATGTAGCACCAAGGGGACACAAGGGCAGAGGGTGTGCACGGAGGGAGCAGCAAACTGGGAAGGCACAGCTGGGCTGGTCCTGCTGGACCTGGAGCTGCCCTGGCTGTCACTTCTGGCCGGAGGGGAAGCAGCAGCTCTGCTTGGACTGGTGGGATATGCTGGGGATGGCGATGGGGCACTTCTGCTGGGAGGACTGGGAGGAGCCTCCGCCGCCACCTCCAGAGCTGATGATGATGGTCTGGCCCGAGGAGCCGCCACCAGATCCTCCCCCACAGCATCCAGAGGATCCTCCACCACCTCCACCTCCAATGATCTTCCCTCCTGAGGATCCACCACCAGATCCTCCCCCGCAGCATCCAGAGGAGCCTCCTCCTCCTCCACCCCCAGAGCTGATAATGATCTTCTGGCCTGATCCCCCACTGCCCCCCCCATATCCTCCTCCCCTCCCGTAGCCACCACCGGATCCTCCACCGCAGCATCCAGAGGATCCTCCACCACCTCCGCCTCCAATGATGATCTTCCCTCCTGAGGATCCACCACCAGATCCTCCACCGCAGCATCCAGAGGATCCTCCACCACCTCCGCCTCCGATGATCTTTCCTCCTGAGGATCCACCACTAGATCCTCCACCGCAGCATCCAGAGGATCCTCCACCACCTCCGATGATCTTCCCTCCTGAGGATCCACCACCAGATCCTCCACCGCAGCATCCAGAGGATCCTCCACCACCTCCGCCTCCGATGATCTTCCCTCCTGAGGATCCACCACTAGATCCTCCCCCACAGCATCCAGAGGATCCTCCACCACCTCCGCCTCCAATGATGATCTTCCCTCCTGAGGATCCACCACCGGATCCTCCCCCGCAGCATCCAGATGAGCCTCCCCCTCCTCCTCCACCGCCAGAGCTAATGATGACCTTCTGGCTGCCACCGCCAGATCCTCCTCCGCAGCAGGATCCGCCTCCTCCCCCTCCTGAGCCCCCGCAGCAGGAGGAGCCCTGGGACTGGTAGCTGGAGGAGCTGCCCCCGTGGCAGCAGCAGCAGCAGCTGTGGCACCCGCCGGACATCCCATGGCAGCTTTGCCTGGAGCACATCTCAGCAGCCACCCTGCAAGGAACAGCTCTTTACTCAGGGCAGCCACCACCCTCCCGAGGATTTCCCGCAGCAGCCCAACAACACTGTGCAATGTCCAGAATCATCATTTAAAGCCTTTTATCCCAAAGCTGTTCCATGTCCATCTCTACACCGGTGAAAGACTTTGAGGAGCACGGGATAATCCCGCTTCTGCTGCGTCCACAGGAGATCTAAATCCATGTGCCCTCCCACCTCCACCCACCAGGCAAACTTCACCAAAGCATTTCTGTTTTGCAGGAAGGGAAGATGAGAATCTCTCCGTGGGGCAGAACCGGACTTACCCTTCTGGGCTCTGACCACGTTCCCCACAGAGCAAAGCCGAGTGAATGAAGCCCTGGGAGATCCACCAACTTTTATATTGCTTTTCCCAGGTGGGAAGTGAGGCATCCAAAGGAATGGTGACGGGTTTATTTACTGAGCAGTGTCCTCCTTCAGCCCACTTGTCCTGACTCACGGGATCAGAGCGATGCCTCTCCGGTGCATCACTTCCTCGGCTGTGCCGCAGGTCCCGCACGTGAGCTCCGCTCCCGAGGCTGAATTCCCAGACTCGGGTCAGCACCCTCCACTCCAACCAGGAGATGCTGCTGGGGTGGGGACCGACAGCAGAAGGGGCTGTGGAGCCTCGTGTTCGTGGTGTGTTGCAGGCTGGGGACACACGGGGGTGTTGTTGGGATGTCCTGTGCCAGGAGTTGGACTTTGATGATCCTTGTGGGTCCCTTCCAGCTCAGGACATTCTATGATTCCGTGATTCTCTGCCCACGGAGATGCCCAGGGAAGTGGAGGGGTCTGCACTGGGTGGGAGTGGTGCTGCTGGGGCAGCAAAGGAATCTCCCATGCCTGGATTCCCCACTGCCCCAGCAGAGGGTGGG